AAGAGAAATATGAAAACTTAATTGAAAAATTGGAAAAATTGGAAGAACACACAAATAAATTAGAAGCTGAATTAGAACAAGCATTGAGTTGTATTAGTTTTGTCAAGTTTGTCAAGTTACTATTTATAATTATTTGGAATTTTTTTGCTAATTTTTTTTTTTTTCCAAATTAGAAAATAAAAATTTTGCCTGTCTTTTTAATGATAAAATCAAACATCTCACATCTGTATTATATGCATTACAACATAAAAAACATCAAAAGCCTATAACTGACCCTGAGGAATTTGTTAAATACATCAAATCAGAAGACAGAGAATTGAAAGATTTTTTTGAAGTTTTATATCAATCCATTAATCCTGCTTCAAAAAATGAAGCCACAAAAAAACAAATAAAAACCAAAATCATGTTCATATGTTATCAATTAGCTGGAATTTGTAATAAACAAGTCAGTGATATTAAATCATCTATAGGAATCTTTATGTCAGGGTGTGGTACATCAGCAATTGGAATAGATTCGCTTTCTGGGATGGGATTAAGCTCCACCTACCAAACAGTGTTTAATAAGATCAACAATATAATAAAAAATCATAATTCATCAGTAGAAACCTATTTTAAATCAAATGTATTAATACTTAAATATAGTATTTAAATATATATTTTTTTTAATTATGCTAATTTTTAATTAACCTTTTTTAAAATATTAATTAGTTTCAAAACCTTTTGGTATTTAACATTGATGATTACCATAATCTGCATCAATCAAGACTACCAAGTACCACATCTATTTCTCAAATCTCACATATGTCAACATTACTTGTTAATAAGATTAATGCTCCAGCAATTCCAATTAATGCATCCAATATACATAACCCCAATGGTGTTGAAGCAGGATTACTAAAAAATTTTCTAAAAAGAAATTTCAATAATATTATTTGTGAAAGCTATGACCAAAATAAAATGAAATGGATTTTTGTAACTGATACAATAGACTTAAATGAGGAAGACTTAATTGATTCATTAATTGTTCATTCTTATGATGCTGATTTAATGGAAACACATTCCAAGCATTCCTTTAAATTTGCAAAGCTTATTAATCATTATTTATTTTTACTATATGGATTTTGTATGTATCCTTTATTTATTATTTAATAGAATTGGCAAGGAAATTTATATGGTATTATTTAAATTTTAAA